TAATTTAATGTTTGGAAAATATTGGCGAATGTTTACTGCATGCATGTTTTTCTAGTATAGTAATAATCAAGCAATATCTCACTCAAAATGCAAAGCTTTGACATGAAAGGTTCAGAATCTCTCGGCACCGCAATGAACAAGTGTATCGAAATAATCAAATATGCGAGCGTATATATCTGTAGAAAAGGAGGTTCAGACTTTCTGAACCTTGTAGAATAATAATCCCGCAATATCTCACTAAAAATGCAATGTCATAGCATGAAAGGTTCAGAATTTCTGACACCCCACTGAACAAGTGTAAAGGAAAAGTGAAATACGCGAACCTTTACTTCTGACTGCCCAATGAACAAGTGTGTCCAAATAGTCAAATATGCATATTGCAAAAGTGTATATCTCAGTGCAACAAAAGAGGGTCAGAACAACTGAACCTTGTATGATAATAATTCCGCAATGTAAATGAACCAGAGATTTGAATAAAAGGTTATATATATATATTACTTATTATTGTAAATATAAAACTTATTTAATCATTATACAGTACAACATCAGAGTTCCTGGCACATCGTTGAACGAGTTCTGAGATTGATTCTATAACAATGCTCCTACTTATATGTTTCATTAATTCTTTGAGTTTCGTCTTCGGTTTGCACACGTACAAATTCTTCATCATCAGATGAAATCAAACATAAACCGTTACTCTTGCTTCACAGCGCAGCAACAACTCCAGTACCTGAAACAGAAACACAGGGTGGGACTGAGTATATGATTTTATCATTGGAATTCAGTGGCAATGTCTGAGAATTATTCCGAAAGACCATCTACATGCATTAATTTCAGTTGTGTAAGATGCAGAAAAAACATCTATAGGTTTCATTGCTGTATACTGCACCTTGTGTTGAATTGATATCTAATATCCAGTCTTCTTGCCGACTGAATATCTCTATTATTCTTTTCAACAAGGAATATTGCTTATTCACATGATTGGCAAGTATTTCAAAAAGGTTGGGCGGACCGGTTTGACGGATAAGTTTCAAAATATAAAACAAGGTTTAGTGAACATTTAAACCATTTTTTAACCTGGATGAAACAATAATGCTTGCAACTATACATATATTATCTAGTGCATCAAATTTTACAATTATCTTAGTTCAATATTCACAAGCTGTAGCCCATAACTTGACGCGGCTTAATTTAATGATTTTAATGAGTACAAAAATTTACAAAGAAGAATTAAACATTGCATTACCTGCAAGTAGTTAAGCTAATCGTGGCAGCCAATGAATTTAAATGTACATTAGTGTAAGTTTAGAAAATATTTTTACAAATAAGTGTATATAAAGTTAATAATGGACCATTCTCCAATTAACCAAACTTTTGAACTCAACAAGTCTAGACAAAAATTTCATCTCAGCTTGAAAGAGCATCACAAAATTAGTAATATTCCAAAGTTTCGTTGCAAAAATGTTCTAAAATGCGGATAATATAGCCTTGCTAAGTTTGCAATTTTCAGTCATTTTAGATTACAAACGGGAAATGATGACCACTTCTGTGCGTAATACAAAATGACTGAAAATTACATGATGTTAATTACTGGATGATAATTTACTGATTTCTGGTATGAGCGAAAAATAACAAAATTTGACTTTTTTATATTGAGCGTAAGTTTGTTAACATCAGTAAGCCATTTGCGAACATTATTCAATACAGAATTTACAACAGATTCAAATGTTTTCAAGTTTTTATTAGCATATAGTAGATTGGTATCATCCGCAAAAAAAATTAAGAAAACATTGGATGACTCAGAAATATCGAAAGTAGAGGCCCGAGGACTGATCCTTGAGGTACTCCACATAAAGTGGTTTCTCGATCTACCAGATACACAGTTTCCAATCAGAGCTGTTTGAGAGCGGTGTTTTAAGTAGGAAGAGAACCAGTCATTTACCACTCCTCTAATACCATAATGACTTAGTTTACCCAACGGTATATCGTGATCTACCGTATCAAAGACTTTCTTCAAGTCTATAAATATACCTCAGGAATAAAGTTTATTATCCATGTTAGTTTGGATTTTATTAACAATATCGAGTATGGCATGTTCTGTAGAATGTTCCTGACGGAAACCATATTGTGAGGGACACAAAATATTTTTCATATTTAGGTATTTATCTAAACGTTTGTACATGATCTTTTCAAAATTTTATTAAATAGTGATAAAAGGGATATGGGTCGGTAATTGTTCGGTTCAGTTTCGTCCTCCGTTCGGTAAATTGGAATAATTTTAGCAATTTTGAGTTTATTGGGATAAATTCCAGATTCAATGTAGCGATTAAAAATATCTGCCAAAGGTTTGCTCAGAATGTGTTTTGCACATTTAATAATCCACGAAGGGCATGACTCATGATATAGAACCTCAGCTTTTCTGGTTGGTAGTGTGATAATTTCAAGTTCAATATCCCTTTCAGTTATCGGAATGAAAACAAATGAATCTAGTTGAGATGTGTAGTTAAGGCTATATTTGCATGTTGAAGGTAATCAGAATAATGTTTTTCAGAATGTGTCGGCATTTTGGCAGCTAATCGTTGTCCAGATGTAGCAAAATGTTTATTCAATTAGATATTAGATATCAATTTTTAGGATCAAATGTTAATCAAGAAGTATCATCTCGTCGCATGGCACGAATATTATTTTTATTATTGCGGCTACGTCCCAACATTTCCCTTATTCCTTCCCATTTCTCACTCATATTTGTGTAATTCAAGTTGAAGTATTTTTCATAGTACAATTTTTTTGCTGGCTCGATCGGAGTAAAGTAACAATATAGTTTCTATATATTTTATTCTGAGTTAAATTATTTGTGTGAAATAACTTCTTTTTAACTTTTATGGATGCCCTTATTCCTCTAGCTACTCATGGCTTGGATAGTTGTTTCGCTTTACGCCTAGAAATGGTCTTGATAGGAGCATGTTTATTTATTAATTAATTTACTTTATTAAAAAAAGTCGAAAATAGCTTAAGGATTATTCTATGGTTCCGTTACGACAAAATCCCAATTTATCTCTGAAAGTTCTTGGTTAAATAAAGTATCAGACAATGATGAATAGTCACGATATTTACGTTTTTGGATGTTTTCTCTGACGGTAATAGGATTTAGGGTAGAAAATTGTGAAGACTGATCGCTTACATCCAGGCCTCGAAATAAATCCGGACGTTATACCGGTCATTATGACAGGTGGATCACTAAATTTACCGGCCACAACGGAACTTATGCCGGTCATTGTCACTTCTTAGCTTCTTTTTTCCCCTCATTTTTCGCGTGACTCGTAATTTTAGAAACGATTGTGTATTTTAATTGTATTTGTATACGAAGTAGAAGTATGGCGTTTAACCAGCCCAGCCCTATGGGCTGTAAAACTTAAAATAACTAAAATAGCCGGTTTTCTAACATTGATGTTTCAAAAGTATAGCATAATTTAGACCTAGATTAAGATATTAAAATTAAATTTTTCCACAGCTATGTTTCCCAATAAATGCAAATTTAAATTATCCATCACTATATTTAGCTCATTTTGATTCAATATTCTTTTATAAAAGCAAATTTATAGCCTACAAATTTAAGTTAATGAAACAAGGTGTGATGATAAGATGAGGTGGAAGGTCTGGTTTATATCAATCTAATATCTGACAGTTAGCTCAAAGATCTTGACATATAAGGTCAAATTAAAGATCATCTTCTGCCAGCTAGCACACATTCACGTGAACAAATCGTGAAACTTACTGTGAATCAATTGAAAACCTCGTACGCCTCTGTTATGTGCTTTGACCAATCATAGGGCATAACACAGCCCATCCTAATTTGCGCATAACATGCACGAGTTCAGGAAAAATAACGAAAAATTTTTCCTTTTTTATTCGTGGCATTGTGTATCTATATTATACAATGCCCCCAATACAAAACCACCAGTATCGTGTTAGTGACCTTCGCAAAAAATGTGCGGAGAAGGGCCTTTCGACTAAATTCCGAAAGGCGACTTTGGTATCTCGGTTACAACAATACGCTTCGTCTCGACCTTCTGCTACGTCTCAGGCGTCGGATACCGCAACGCCAAGTATTTCAACGTCAGAAACTTCCACGCCAGTGCCTACCGTAGAAGTCGTACATACTCCAAGCCTGCTATTAAACGACGTGCAAATGACACAAGTTCGATCTACAGTATTGTATCGCGCAGCATCGAAGATTCAATTAATAACGGAAATTGCCAGCTAAGCGGCCCGTGCTACTGTGAATGCATTGCAATGTTCAGCGACCTCGCCAAACGAAAGTTCGCCAGCGACTCTAGAGGACCGAGTAGCAGATCAACACGCTACTTCAACAACACGAAGTCCTGACCCAATACGGCAGTACCTGCCACTGTACCGACCGTGGTTATTCCAGATTTTCCTCCTCATGTGCCCGAGAATGAATCCTTTGTTTCAACTCAGATGCCATATAACGGCCACCCCCCGCATTGGATGTGCCCGCTGCCTATGTCAACTGAAGCAGATACAAACGGATGAATTTTTTGATTTAGCAAAATTACCTCTTGAATTCCCTTACACCGCGGATGATGATGACTCTGTGGTCTTAACCTTGGTCTTAACCTCCATTATAAAAGTTGAGAAGGCTAATCAGCGAACTAAGAAAATAACGAATATCGAACAATGGACTACAGCATTCACTGTACAACCTCGTTCCCAGGGCTTCAGTGTGAGGACGAGGCGAGACACGAGGAAGCCCTGGTCCGGGCCGGTCAATTTTGCATTCTGATTGGCTAACAAAATATTGTCTAAAAATAACTGAACTTGACAGTTAACAATAACAATTCAGCATTTGTATTTCTATGATTCTTGTGTGTACGAGTATGCTTTGCAAAATAATCTTTCAAAGTAAGACGTTTTTCCGACTGCATGATTTACTTTCGCCTTGGCCGGTTACAAAACTCAAAAGCGGTGTTAGTCTAGGACCTGTATATGAGTTTGTATGCATTTCATTTAGGACAGATAATCTCAACTGTTTTAGGGCAAGTTGACCATGACGGTCAACATGGCAACGCTGCCCGAACCCCAATCCGGGACGAAACGTCCGAAACTGACCACACCCAAAAACGACGCTTTCGCCATACTGCTATCTACCAAACCATAAAAGCTTTGGCTATTCTGAGGTGCTTATATGGTTCAGAGATGGTACTTTTGGGGGTGATCATTGGTAAGTGTGAAATGCCTAGCACTAATATTTCACAAGAAAATGACCATGCAATAATCATAGTTAAACGTCAATTTGTGGCTTGCAACTTCATTTAAACAGCAGTGGACTTACATTATCTTTTTCCCAAAATCTTTTTGATATAAACATAATTGGTACTTATTTAAATATATTATCACTGGTTTGGTGTAAAATAGTTAATATTTTCTGAACGAAATAATAATTTGAAATGTGCCTACCTCCTGCAAATGGACGTATTTGGCCAAGTTCTCCACTTTACTCCGCTGTTTATCGGCGATCTCGTCGACATCCTACAAAAAATGTAAATCATCTCAGACATAATGGTATCAAGAACATTTTAAACAAGTTTCAACTTGGTTTAAAGTAGATCATACCTGTTTAACCATCGACAAGGTAAATCCACAACTTTGTCCAAATTCGGCGCCATTTTGTCATCCCATGTCGGTTGTCAACAATTCAGCCTTATTACTCTTCCATCCAAGCCATTTCCATTCCACTAATAATAAATTTAACCCTTTATAACGGTAGGAAACTAAAAAATCTAAACAAAATATAAGAAATGCGCCATTTTATCACCCTGTAAAGTGTTGTTTACGAGTCCTTCGAAACACTTCGTACAAATCTCGCGTGGTTTAGCAACAGGGACTTGGCAGGGGGGGTAGAGACTTGAAAAATGAAAGGAAAGCCCACACAATATCCAACAATCAACATTTAATTTGTATGACTTTTTCATATTAATAAATAATAATATGTATATATTTGTCGCTACAGGAAATAAAACAAACGTTTGTATGATTGTATTTAGCTTTTAGTCTATTTCACGCAGCATTCTTCTACCTTCGTGAAATAATTCACCCCCTCCTGTCACGTCCCTGTTACTTTGTCACGCGATATTTGTACGGAATGTTTTGAAAGACTCGTGAGCAAGATTTTACAGGGTGATAAAATGGCGCATTTCTTATATTTTGTTTAGATATTTTAGTTTCCTACGGTTATAAAGGGTTAAATTTATTATTAGTGGAATGGAAATGGCTTGGATGGAAGAGTAACAAGGCCGAATTGTTGACAACCGACATGGGATGACAAAATGGCGCCGAATTTGGACAAAGTTGTGGATTTACCTTGTCGATGGTTAAACAGGTATAATCTACTTTAAACCAAGTTGAAATTTGTTTAAAATGTTCTTGATACCATTATGTCTGAGATGATGTACATTTTTTGTAGGATGTCGACGAGATCGCCGATAAACAGCGGAGTAAAGTGGAGAACTTGGCCAAATGCGTCCATTTGCAGGAGGTAGGCACATTTCAAATTATTATTTCGTTCAGAAAATATTAACTATTTTACACCAAACCAGTGATAATATATTTAAATAAGTACCAATTATGTTTCTATCAAAAAGATTTTGGGAAAAAGGTAATGTAAGTCCACTGCTGTTAATCTGAAGTTGCAAGCCACAAATTGACGTTTAAATATGATTATTGCATGGTCATTTTCTTGTGAAATATTAGTGCTAGGCATTTCACACTTACCAATGATCACCCCCAAAAGTACCATCTCTGAACCATATAAGCACCTCAGAATAGCCAAAGCTTTTATGGTTTGGTAGATAGCAGTATGGCGAAAGCGTTGTTTTTGGGTGTGGTCAGTTTCGGACGTTTCGTCCCGGATTGGGGTTCGGGCAGCGTTACCATGTTGACCGTCATGGTCAACTTGCCCTAAAACAGTTGAGATTATCTGTCCTAAATGAAATGCATACAAACTCATATACAGGTCCTCGACTATGTCGAAGTGTCTCTGATGTTTCCTGACAAAACAAGAAACGTCTACTATTATTAAAATGTAGTGCAGATGTCTGATGAAATACTACGCGTATTGCATTGTAGTAATATTTTAATTTACAATATTCTGTACTGACAAATATAAAGCAAGACAAACAATTAAATGAAACTACTAAATTAATTTAGGCCCTGTTTACTTAATGGCTCTACGCCTAGGCCGATGTAGTCTACAAGATTCGCACGCCACCGAGTTTTACAGTTTCAGAATACCCCGAATACTTGAAAATTGCGACTATACGATAAAATAAAGCAAAGAATGTGAAGGGGATAAAATTTGTAGGCGAGCATTGCTCCTGAACGGGAAGTGTTGGTGTCCGGCGAAACAAGCGAATCCGTATATTCCTGTACAGCGTAAACAGGTTACGCGAGGTTTTATATTTGTGTTTATTTATATTGAACTATTAGTCAGATCTATAAGAGCATATTTAAACTAAATGTTAATTATAGCAATAGCCATATTGTTCAAGACGAGAGAAAGCAAATTTCGTGTTAATCACCACTTGCACGGAGACGCCTAGATGCAGCTTGGATGTAGCTTTGCCTGTAGCCGAAAATCTCCAAAAATATCGGTATATCTTAGAAAACATAGACAGGATCTTCATAGATTTCAGCTGATCCGATCGTGCCAAACTTCGCTCAACACATAAATAATATCGATTGAGAAGTCTTTTGGCTATTTATTTGTTTCGAAGACTTGTATATTTCATTAAAGAATATCTCGCCACTCCTTGACGAGTAGCTGTCAAATACTGCCATTTTGGGGTAGACACGTGACCGGACCGGACCAGGGCTTCCTCGTGCCTCGCCTCGTCCTCACACTGAAGCCATGGGAACGAGGTTGTTCACTGTATATCTGGGCATATTAACATCACAGTTCCCCTCGCGATCCCAAGAGTTAATTTCTTCAGTATATGTCCCTCATTCGCTATGCCTCCCAAACCCATAGAAGCCTTGGTTGGTGTATTTACGACTGCCCTCTAAATTGGTTGGTGTATTTACGACTGTCCTCCTTTACGCAAGTCTAAATTGTTCACAAATTGACCAGCAGCTATGGTTATGTCTTTTCACCATACCACCTGACATTTGAAGACGGGAATACCCCCTTTTCTCAAATGGACCCCAGCAAAATGCCACACTCTCTGAGGCCGCTAGAAAAGGAAATACCTGCCATGAATATAATAAAAGGGGTAAGTTTAAAAACATGCACCAAATGTTCCTACCGTCATGAATGCAACAGATGCTCAGGTACCCACCCAGACTTCAGCTGCAACCAACGTCGACCTGAGCATGACCAACTCCCCAGGAGCAGCGACAAGTCCAAGAAGTTTACGCATGACCATTGACTATTATAATCAACTACCTACACCTATTTTAGTTGATAAGTTAGAAAGTGCCCTTACTGGACACCCTGATTCTAATTTTGTATCTTAAGTTTACAATAATTTAAGGTTTGGTGCACGAATTGGTTTTGAGGGGCGACGTGTCCCAAAATTTTCTAGAAATTTACCCACGGCAATGGCTGACCCTAGAATGGTCACAAATAACTTAGCACATGAGATTTCACTTGGTCGGGAGGCTGGTCCCTATAATAACCCACCATTTTCAAATTTTCAAATTTCACCAATTAGCTTGGTTCCAAAAAAGACGTCTGACAAATTTCGGACAATTTTTCCATCTCTCTTTTCCTAAGTCGGGTATGACCAGCATAAATAACGCAATTTCCAAGGAAGATTTCAGCTTGCGTTATAATGTCACTATTGGTCATGCCATTGAAGGTATAAAATATTTCAGCAAGGGCTGTTTCCTGGCAAAACCTGACATAGAATCTACATTTCGACTGATTCCCATTCACCCTGACAATTATGAGCTACTGGTTATGCTTTGGCTGGGGGAAATATTATTATGACAAGGTCTTACCCTATAGCCTTCGAACCGCTCCGTTTATTTTCAATTGAGTGTCCGATGCGATTGAATGGATTTTGATTATAAGGAATGCCACATTTCTTTTGTATGCCACTTTTTAGATAATTTCTTATTCATTGTACCTAAGTCGAAACTTTGCTCTCCCGAGAGTCTCTGCCAGCAAAGTATTGCTGCAATGTTGCTTACTTTCAATAACCTGAACATCCCAATTGTCCCGAGTGAAACTCAAGGTCCCCTACATGTACTTGAATTTATGGGTATAACATTAGACACCCTGACAATGGAAACACGTCTTCCTATTGACAAAATTGAGCGATTGAAGGAAATTTTTGGACAACTTGAAAACAGACGTTCTTGTACTTTGAAACAACTACAATCCCTGATTGGTACATTGAACTTTGCATGCAAGGTTGTCCCACCAGGTAGGCCCTTCTTACAGCGCATGATTGATTTAACACAAAATGTTAAGAAGTCCCACCATCACATAAAACTGAATACCGGTACCGGGTTCTTTAAAGATCTGGAGATGTGGAAACAATTTATAATCAATTGGAATGGGGCTAACTTTTTCCTTTCATCCTCCTGGCAAGATTCAGATTTCCCGCAACTCCACACAGATGCATCAGGAGGACTAGGGTACGGGGGTATATTTGAGTCTAGATCGTTCCAGGGCACATGGCAACCCCACCAACAACTAGGAACGCCAGGGATTAGTATTGCTTGCATGGCAAGAGCTTCTTGCCATTATAGTCGCATGCCAGATATGGGGCGACCTTCTCCAGGAAAAATGTATTATCTTTAACTGTGACAATGAAGCTGTAGTCAGTATGATTAACACAAAACGTTCTCGTGCGCCAAAAGCCATGGATCTAATTTGCCACCTGACCCTTGCAATATAATTTTAACATTCGAGCTCAACACATACCCGGGAAACGAAATGAAATTGCAGACTCTCTCTCTCTCTCGTTTTCAGCACCAACGGTTCACACAATTGGCACCTCATGCAGATCCCAACCCATGCTCCATCCAGACATTTCTGCTAGCAATTTGAAAAAATACATTGAAAAATATATCAATTTGGCAGTGGCACCTTCTACCAAACAAACATACAGCTCAGGTGAAAACCGCTTTGTTGAATTTATCCTTTTAGTTAAACGCCCTCAATTCGACTAGAACTATAAAACATTCCTCAATAAAAATTAGTACTTAGCAGCTGTTCGACATTATCACATTTTCCGGGGTTTTAAGTTAAACTTCCAAAAAATGACACGCCTGCAACTGGTCTTACGCGGTATAAAGAGAGATCAAGGTGCCCAAATTCGGATACGCTTACCAAGAACTATTGATCATCTGCAGTTGTTCCACCTGTTACTATCCATTCCATCCACCAAAAATTATGACTCATTAATGTTCCGGGCTGCAATGACTTTGGAATTTTTCGGTTTCCTCTGTCTGGGAGAACTAACATGCGATTCCAGATTTAATCCCGATACCCACCTGACACCAGACAATATATCAATTAATTTTATTAAGAAGATGTAAAAACCCAGATCGATGACCATCTTGATCAAAGAGTCAAAAACTGATCCCTTTTGGCAGTGGCACCTTCTACCAAACAAACATACAGCTCAGGTGAAAAACGCTTTGTTGAATTTGTCCTTTTAGTTAAACGCCCTCAAGTCGAACAGTGTCTCCCAGCAACATAATCTCGGCTGACTGAGTTTGTTGTGTACTTGGCTAGAACTATAAATCATTCCTCAATAAAAATTAGTACTTAGCAGCTGTTCGACATTATGACATTTACCGGGGTTTTAAGTTAAACTTCCAAAAAATGACACGCCTGCAACTGGTCTTACGCGATATAAAGAGAGATCAAGGTGCCCAATTTCGGATACGTTTACCAAGAACTATTCATCATCTGCAGTTGTTCCACCTGTTACTATCCATTCCATCCACCAAAAATTATGACTCATTAATGTTCCGGGCTGCAATGACTTTGGAATTCTTCGGTTTCCTCCGTCTGGGAGAACTAAAATGCGATTCCAGATTTAATCCCGATACCCACCTAACACCAGACAATATATCATTTAATTTTATTAAGAAGATGCAAAAACCCAGATCGATGACAATCTTGATCAAAGAGTCAAAAACTGACCCCTTTCGGGTGGGTCAAACAATTACAATTTGGGCTACTAGCTCACCATTATGTCTGGGGTATTAGCCACTTTGACAGATGTGCTAATCGCTAAGTAACTAGCAACATTTCGGGAGGGGGGATGAAGTCTCCATAAGATGTCAACTTCAGGCCCATAGACTCAATATATGTCACACATACTATAGCTAAATCTAAGGACTGTCCATGGGAGTTTATCCCCCATGTTCAGGTTAAGGACTGGCCATATGGGTTTAGTGCCTTTGCTCAGGTTAAGGACTGTCCATAGGGGTTTTGCGCGCCGATTGGTCAGACTAAGGCATATCCATATTGGGGTTTTGTGCTCCTGTTGGTCAGGTTAGGACTGTCCAAGTGAATCTTGGTTAGATTATGAGCAGCCAGTTCAGAATCAGTGCAGCTATTGGGTGTGACATATGAGTAGGGATGATGCTTTTCATAACACAAATGGACTCTTCACAACCCAGAACCCCTCTTCTACAAGATAAAACATTGTGTTTAATATTGTGTTTTCTAAGAAAGTGGAGCAAAAAATCAACAACTTGGGTCATTAAAGCAAATTTATAGCTTTATAAATTTAAGCTGATGAAACAAGGTGTAATGGTAAGATGAGGAGGAAGGTCTGGGGCCGGTTGTATAAAAACGTAATTAGCGCTAACTGTAGTTAGCGTTAATCACTGTAGTTAAATCCTTAACTGTAATTAGTTAACTACACGACTTAACTGCGTTGCACAAAACGTAGTTAGTCGGATAGTTAACTAATCACGTAGTTAACTGTGCGTGGGGCTTGCGTGGGGCGTTTAAACACAAAATTACATAAAGTAAGCAGCGAGTAACGACCGCTGACACACATTTTCAACATGATTGTGGACTCGTATTTTGCAAATAGGCGGGAATTTTATTCAAAACACTAGAAAACAGTGAAAAATAAACAAAAAACAAGGATCCGACCGCCACAAAAATCATAAAAGAATGCAGTTTTCCTTGAGATGTCTACGTTAAACTAAAGTATAGCTGTTTGGCAATTATATATCAGTGTTTCTTGGTGTAATGGACCATACTTCGTCTTCGAGAAATCGTCCTGTGCAAAAATATGTTCTGTTTTCGTAAAAACACCAAAGCGATAGCGTTTGAAGAGTTTATATTGTCAGGAAACATTCACAGGGAAGATAGCGATTGAAAATCTCAGGTAAGCGTTGCTTTTCATTATTGTTTTACTGAAAAATATTGTTCACTCCTATATAAACGCCATTTTTAACTACGTTTTGGACAGTTAACTATACCCTAGAGCATAGTTAACTTTAACTACTTTTTAACTGCAGTTAAGGCTAACTACACTTTTATACAACCGGCTTAACTACGTGATTAAAGTTAACTATTTTTTAAGGCTTTTTAACTACTTTTAACTGCAGTTAGCGCTAACTACGTTTTTATACAACCGGCCCCAGGTTTATATCAACCTAACTCTGACAGTTAGCTCAAAGATCTTGACATATAGGTCAAAGAACATCTTCTGCCAGCTAGCATACATTCACGTGAACAAACCGTGAAACTTACTGTGAACTAATTGAAAACCCTCGTACGACTCCGTTATGTGCTTTGATCAATCATAGGGCATAACACTGCCCATCCTAATTGGCGCATAACATGCACGAGTTCAGACAAAATAACGTAATTTAGTCTGAGCTATCGACTGAGTAACTTTATCGAAAAATTTTTTCCCACCCACCCACTTCTCCTCTGCTTACCTTTACTGGGTTTAAAATTAATAAAAAATCAGTTAAAATTTTCAATGTTATATTATTAGGGAATGCAGTAATTATAATAACATTCTTATGTCTACAATATACCTAGCATGTTCCCATGGAAAGATATAGATAGACACGTATTGTATGTATTGATATATAATTATAATACAGTAGATGATTATGTACAAAGGATATTGTTATCGCCAACCGATCTCAAGGATATTATTCCGAAACAATTAAAAGTACAAGGAAGCACATTCAAGTGCAAACAGTTACAAACATTGTTAGCGTGTCTAACTCATTGTTGATATTACGGATTTTATTGGTGCATAGAAAATATTTTGCTTGTAAGTTCTTGTCGAGTGATTGGAATAAAAAATTGTAGTTCGGGATGAAGTCTCCATAAAATGTCAACTTCAGGCCCCTAAATTCAATATATATCGCACATAATATATCTAAATCTAAGAACTGTCCATGGGGCTTACCTCCCCCCCCCCCCTCCCCTATGTTCAAGTTAAGGAATGGCCATATGGGTTTAGCGCCTTTGGTCAGGTTAAGTACTGTTCATAGGGGTTTTGCGCTCCGATTAATCAGGGTAAGGACTGTCCATACTGGGGTTTCGTGCTCCAGTTGATCAGGTTAGGACTGACCAAGTGAATCTTGGTCAGATTATGAGCAGCCAGTTCAGAATCAGTGCAACTAATAGGGTGTGACATATGAGTAGGGATGTCCTATGGTTTCCTATTCATGTGATGTGTTTGGTCGATGTATAGTCATTTATTTGGAGTTAGGGGTCAATTGGGACGCAATTCCTGTTCCTCTCTCCAGTCGACCTATGTTGTATTTTTGCATGTTCTATACTAGTGTCAGTAATCAATCTTGTTCGTATGTAAATGAATTGTGACAAATCAAATTAAATAAATAAATTAAACAAATAGATACTTGTCATAACACAAATGGATTCTAAATAGGGGCGGATCTATGGGTAGTCAGATTAGTCACGCGACTAACGTAAAAAAAAGGCATATAAAAAGATTTGGACTAAGGTTTTTGAATTTTTTCCCAGTGCAAACACTTCTCTTCATTTCTGATCACGCAATCAAAACTCTATGACAATCCAGCATATAAACTTCGATCAGTTTTGCACATTGAGCCAGCGATTGATTAGTCAAACAATAAGTCAAATAAGCGGTATTCAAACGAAAATTGACTAATCTGCGTTATAGTTCATGCGATTTGATTGGTCAAATTTGCTCAGATCACACATTACAGGCATGTTGATTGGTCAGATCTATTTTGTACGGTGGCCCATAAGTACAAACATGCATAAAAATCCAAATACACAAATACAAAACCAAATACACGCATACAAAAGTCAGTACACGCATACAAAACTCAATACACGCATACAAAAGTCAGTACACGCGTAAAAAACTCAATACACCCATACAAAACTCAATACACGCATACAAAACTCAATGCACGCATACAAAACTCAAACGTTAGAACATTCATCGTTACATGACGTACCGAATGGTAACGAGCAAAACGAATGAGGGCGATCAATTTTTATCAGATAAAAAATTAGAAATATATTTCCATTTAATTAAACCGACGAACATCTTTTGTTTGCATTGTGCGCAAGAGAAAGACAAAAATGCAAATTTTTGCAAGAGTTGTGGAGCAAGTGTGTCAGAGAATAAATCTTCGCCTTCGTCCTCAACTAGTCAGCAACCGCTAAGTTTTAAAGAGTACTTAGAGAAGAAGAGTGAAACCGGTGGAAGCAGTTCCAGTGGTGATACGTCCGCGTTCAAAAATATTAGAAAAAGGAAGAAAAATGAACGCTTAAGTCAGATTGAACAGGGCTAGAAAGATGAAATCGTGACGAAGGTATACATTTTTACCAATATATTAAAATATACCAAGTACAATACAATACAACACAGCTCGAAAAACGAGGCCTATTGGGCCTCTAGCCATTAACTATAGCTAGTACAATTGAGTAAACAACAGTAATAAGATACCAACAAGTTAACAAAAGTTAAGTTAGGTTGTTTTAGTACCTACAAATAAACAATTAATACTTATTTACTGGGACCCAAGGCAAACATATTAGCAGGCTGAGTTGGTTTATGTAACAAGGGCGGATTTTCATTTATGTAAAAGGGGGGTTAGAAAAATTTCTGGTGGGGTGCAAGCGGCACCACTCATTGAGCTTCGGCAGGGGTTAGGCGTTTGGGTTAAAGCCTTTCACACAAAATAGGAGGGGTGAAGCAAAATTTTGGTGGGGTTGAACACTTTATTAGAGGGGTTAGAGAGATTCTGGGGGGGGGGGTTAACCCTCCCCCTAACCCCCAGTAAATCCGCCCATGGTTTATAGGGGGCCGAGCTGAGCTAAACTGTTTTGTTGACCCTCCACCATCGATATTTCCCAAGGTAGCAAGGCAGAGTATTTTTTTTTGAAAAGTTAAAAAACACCAAATTTCTATGATGAAAAATAATAATAATAATGTATATAATACTTATACAAGAAGCCTAATCAGTAGTAAATACTGTTATCAATAAGGGTCCTGTAAAACATACAATGTATTAGCAGTCTGTAGCTTATTTGCATGTTAGGGACCGTTCGTTAATTGTAGATGAGGCGATTATTAATTATATTAATTACTATAGATTAATTATACATGATTAAAATTTTCAAAACATTTGATGGACTTAAGGTGGCTACCTACAATTTTTGAAATAAAACAAAATCGTGATTTAGATTTATTTTTTTGAAGAAGACAAAAATTGTATCATATATGTTGAGCAATCTTCTAAAGAGTTGAAAATTGTTCACAAAAATGACGTCATTACCGTTGCTATGGTAACAATGACGTTTCAATATGGCCGACATTTTACCTTTTAATACATTTCACTCGAAGAAAGGCCAGTTACCCCCATTTTTTATTTCGTGAAACTTTTTGTTAAGAAAAATGAATCATGAGAACAAGTTTAAAAAATTCTGTATATACAAAAAATACTTATCACAAAAATCGCGTTTTTTAATTTTTTAAAAATTCTAATCTACAGAATTTTTGAATTTTTAAACTTGTTCACATCATTCATTTTTCTAAATGAAAACGTTTCACGAAATAAAAAATGGGGGTAATCGGCCTTTTTTTCGAGTAAAATGTGTTAAAATGTAAAATGTCAGTCATATTGAACCGTCATTGTTACCATAGCAACGGTAATGACGTCATTTTTGTGAACAATTTTCAACTCTTAAAAGATTGCTCAATATATGTGGTACAATTTTTCTCTTCCAACAAGAAACCTCTCTTCAATAAATTAAATCTAAATCACGATTTTGTCAGATTTCAAAAATTGTAAGGAGTCACCTTAATTAAACTGACCATTTGCGAGAATTTTAGGACAACAAAAGCGTTGCTAAGGCAGTTGCTAAGTGGCAATTAAAGGAACGGGTTTCTTTTTCTTGATATTAATTTAGCTAACTTCCACAACTCATAGAAGGAAAATAACGTGCTACAATAGTACAGCAGACAGCATAGATTTAAAATTTATTTATTTTAAGAAAATGAATTTTTCCAAAAATGAAGGTAAAAGAACACCTTAATACTCTTCATTAATGAAACTCTATAGGTCATAGGATAAAGGAACTTTAACAATTTCTATATGATAATCATTTTAATGAAATGTGGGCATCAGCTGCGTGAAATTGTTCAACTATTAAAGGAATACCAAATGGTTTTCCTTGCAGGACAGCGTGATCCATGCACGTGGGATGTTGCGAAAAATCATGCATAACAATGAAATTTTAGGAATTAGTCAGTGCAAAACTTGGCTTGGTTCGCTGTTTTTGTTAACTAAACTTGTCTCTCGTTTGATTTAATTAATACACTGTTAACTTCACACGTTAAAATGTTTTCATTGTCCGACATTTTGAGATGCCCACGCAAAAGCATGTTCGAAAGCATTTTCGCGTGCAGGATAGGCTCTGTTATGCTGCAATATTGCTTTCGATGTTGTTGTACAATTGTAGTTAAAACACGAGTATCGTATTCTAGATAAACATTGGAATAATCGAATTAGGAAAAAGACTGAAAATAAAAAGATCATCATCTCTTCCCATCGATGTTCGAAAATCTGATACATCAATTTTAGTAAAAAATGCTGGAGTCAATAAACAGATGCCCATAACCAGCAGCTTCGAAATCTTGAACAGACAGAATGGCTTTTACTGTACCCAGATATGGACATAGTAGACAAAATACCTGGAAGCACTGAGAAATTCACTGTGGAAAAATATAAAGATGAACTTGGACGACCATACAGTAGAGTCAATCTATACATTTGCAACATGCTTCATTTTGAAGGAAAAGACCGACTGTGGATTTAGATAATTACCTAAACAACAATATTTTCCAGAGAGAATTGTTATTTCATTCTTTCAAATTTAGTTGCCAATGATTTGGTTGATGACCCCGATGCAGAAACTGTCGATCCTGTACAAGTTGATACTTTTGATGAGTATTCTATGCAAGGCACTCCTGGGCAAGCTAATCCTGTTCAAGCTGATCCTGAGGAAGATTATTCTGTCCAAGCTGATCCTGAAGAATCGTATTCTGTTCAAGCTGATCCTGAGGAAACTTATTCTGTTCAAGCTGATCCTGAGGAAGCTGATCCCTTTCAGGCTGATCCGTTTCCAATTGAGTCTGCCCAAATTGAACCAGTTCAAATGCAATTTTAGGTTGTTCTAAGTGCAGGTATAATCAAGGGATTCTTTGCATATTATTTACAGACTTTTTGGTCTTTCATTTGTATTATAAACAGACAATAATTGTTTATCTCTTTATTAATAATTATTGTGTTTCAGATGAAACAGACCTCCCATTAAACCAAATGGAACCAGATGCAGATGTTATTGTACAATAAGCCCAAGTGTCTTTGCTTGAAGAACAATTCCATGGGTTAGATCTGGTTATCCATCGCACTACCTTATTAAAAGATATGATAACAGCATTTTCAGATCCAACCATATTAAAAGTTACAATATTTTTAAAGTTGTTGATGCACGTGGTGTTATAGAGGAAGGTGAAAGAAGGGGTGTGGCACGTGAAGTTCTCATTGAATTTTGGCACCTCTTCTATCAATCATTATCCGTTGGAGCATCCGCCAAGGTCTGTACCATCCGTCATGATTACCAAAGGCAAGAAAGGAAAGCAGTGGCCAGAATTTTATTGTACGGCTACTGCAAAAAACGAGTGTCCCCAATGCGCTGTCTGCAGAATTTGTTGCGTGCACTGTTCTAGGTGAATATCGTGTCTCCAGCGAAGTGCTAGTGAAATCTTTCATGACTTACATAGCGGAAGATGAGAGAGAAGTAGTTGATAACTGCTTGAAAAATAGATCACAAATTGATAAAAACGAAGGTCTGTTAGAGGTCTTGGAGAGCTACAAGTGCTATCGCATATAGGAAAACAGCGAAGCCATATCATGCCAATTAGCCCACCAAGAGCTTATCCAACGACCCCGGTATGTTTCCAATTGTTGGGCAACGATATTGCAATCATTGAAGAGTCGCCTTCTATTTCAAGATATGGCAAGCATTCTTCACTTTTACGAAGAATTGAAACCCACTGCGAAAAAGGTTTTGAAAATCCTAGATGGTTCTCCGGAAAATGAGGCGCAGCGAAATGCTTTTGATCACAAGGTTCGCCGCAAGAAGGTTGTCCATGCATATGGAAATCGTAATTTTGGGCAACAAATTCTTACGGTGAATGGAGTTACAGTCATGCAAAACCCTTTCACGTGCATCGTAGCTGGGTGTACGCAAAGCGGCAAAACCGTATGGGTGAAATTTCTCTTGGAGAATGCTAAAACGACTATAAGTCCTGCTCCTCAACGTATCATATGATGTTATGGTCAAAGGCAACCGCCCTATTTTGATATGATTGGGATGATACCTGGAATCGAGTTTAATTAAGGTATCCCCGACAATATCCACAACGCAGATTACTTGGACGTATTGCAACGGAATTTGATCGTATTGGACGACCTTATGGCTCAATCTCGCAAAGATAAACGTATTTCTGACCTTTTTACGAAAGGAAGTCATCATCGAAATTTGTCTGTCATCTATATTGTCCAAAATACATTTCATCAGGGCAAAGAAATGAGAAATATCAGTCTTAACGCTCACTATATTGTGCTGTTGAAGTCACCAAGAGATGAACAACAAATTTCTATGCTTGCAAGGCAAATATATCCTGGGAAAGTACAAGAGTTTATGAGAAGTTATTGATTTAAAGCCAACAACAGACGATCAAAAACGACTCAAGACCAACGTACTTCCCGGCGAGATTGCAATGTTTATACAAAAACAGTCGATACGACTGTTTTTGTATAAACATTGCAATCTCGCCGGGAAGTACATTGGTACGTCTTGACGATACGTCTTGACGATACGTCAACCACCGCTTGTAAATGTAATGTATGATGCCGAACAGAGAATGAAAGAAATCATGGATGCACCACAGCTTAGCGCAGTGGAAAAAAGCAAATGATATTCTGATCAACTAAATCGGTTTCTCATATTCAAAAATAAGACGGATGTCCCGGCTCAAGCTCTTGTACGTTCGGAGAACTTCACCACTGTCTCCTACTCCTGTATCTGCTGAGATACCATCGCAAGTGCCTCCTACTGCTGTACCAGCGGAAATACCATCACCAGTGCCTGCTACTCCTAAACCTAATTTTCTTAAGGCCGTTTTCCACTAAGCGGGATTTTCCGCGCGGACCGGAATTTTTCTTTGTCTTGTGATTTCTCGGGTGGAACTAATTAGAAAAGACAAAGAGAAATTCCGCTCCGCGCGGAAAATTCCGCCTAGTGGAAAACGGTCTTTACGCCAGCACCAACCGAAGGTGAACGGCCAAAACTCAAGCGCAACTTATTTCACAATTGAGTAGATTCTGCTGATTGGAAAGAAAGTGACTTGGCTATGATGAAACCGAATGAAAGAGAGCGTTGTGAACGTTTTTTACTAAAAGAAAGACAGAAATATATTCCAATGAAGCATGAAGATGTTGCAAGATTATCACCTAAAAACAGACAAGAGTACGAAAACTCTTTAAAAATAAATTAAAACTCCAAAACGTTATGCTCTTAGAAGTAGACCTTACTAAATTTTCTAAAACGTTTTGCAGAAATAAATGTATTTTAAAACTGAAATCTTGTGTAAGTTTTTGCCCGCAAAGCCTCGCGCCCGATTTGAAGGCATACACCTGCGTATGCAGGTTTATGCCTTAAAATCGGGCGCGAGGCTTATCTATCCATTGAGATACACTTAGTTATGCAAAATTTTTTTGTTAGCCTAATCCCTTAATTACCTACACGCCTCCTAATGACTTAGCAACCATAACAACGCAACATTTGCAAATTTAAGAGGCATTGTCTGCAAAAAACGGTCCAGTGAATTCTGACTCAATTTTCGTTTGGCTTCATAATATATCTATAACTTCCTTGATGTATCCTAATTCTTGTTCAAACAGTGATTTCTTGAAAATTGTCTTATTTTTTTGTTTAGAGACGGACCATTATTTTTTTGGAGGGGGGGGGGAATGAAAAATTCTTAAAAAAATTGTTTGCAAAGACAAAAAAGTGCAAATAAATTGTTTGCACACATAGAAAAGAGGAAAAAAATAGTTTGCAAGCTAATGAGATTATGCAACATCAACCAAGGTTAATGACAATGAACAGAGTGCTCACCAACATACCCAGGGTCTTCACCCCAAAGCCCTGGGATGGGATACGCTGGGCACATGTTGCAATCTACATATGGGTTAAATATTAATCTATTGAATACAGTCATTTTTTTTAGGGGGGGTTGTATTTTTGGTATTTTTTGTATAAAATAGGTAATTGGACAAGTACTGGTGTAAGATTTGTGTAGCGTAAATAATGAGAGGACCAGTAGCAGGGCATTTTTTAACATACAAGCGATGGGGGGGGGGGATGTCTGCCTTATGCCCCCTCACGAAATCACATTTTGCCCCTCCGCCCAGGAAAGTCCCTTTTTCCTAAATTTACACAAACAAACCAGCGAAAAATAACAAATTGATAAACAAAAAGTAAGTTTTAGGCTTTATCCTTTTTCCTTGTTTAACAAAATCGATTTAAATTGTTACGTTTTTCTACCTGGCACTAAGTAATGATGATAAATTATTGTTAATAATTTTTTATTTTTTGTACGTTTTTCCTTCTTTTATTTCAAATACAAGTATACTTAGCATAAATTTTAGAGCAAATTTAAATGCTCAGAATGCAGGAAATGGCATATCAGGGCTTCAAATTTCAAAAATTTTCTGGGGAAATATGCCCCCAGACCACGTGGCCGTCAGCCATTCCTATCCTCCTCTAATATATTATCTCACAGAAAGGTTCCCCCCCTCACACGGGAAAATCTTTAAAAAAGGCCCGGACCAGTATGCCAAAAAAACTATTAAATGTCTGTTTACATATTAAATTTATACTTCTGACAACACCACATGTTGTTCGATCACCAGCGCCGTAGCAACCGGGGGGGGGGAGCTGCAGCCCCCACAACAATTTGCTAATAATCATTCATTTTTCATTTAATCCTTTATCATTTAATCATTTTTCATTTAATCATTTAATCCTTTACCAAAAACCTTTATCACTTAATCCATGACAAACTGCAAAGAATGAAGATATTACCCATACTTTCCTGCAACTTATCCAATATGAAGTTTAGTACTACAGAATTGTAAATTTCGTTGTTTTCTGACCATCAGAATTCTATCAAATCTTCCCCAAAGTCCAGGAAATGGCATTTCCGAGACTCTAAATTTAAAAATTTCCTTGCGTCTTCGGTCTTCGCTTTCAGCCACCCCCCCCCCCCAAGAGCTTCCTACGGCCCTGATCACACATGCAATAGTGTAATCGGGCACAAATGAAACTATATATCAATTTATAATGAAATCCACAGCAATCAGATGGACAAAAAAATTGTTTGCAGAAGGAAGCAGGCGCAAAAAAATTGTTTGCAACAACAACAGCACCAAAAAAAATTGTTTGCGTTGACGAAATGTCCTTCATCCCCCCCCCCCCTCCAAAAAAATAATGGTCCGTCCCTTACCCTCAAATATGTTTGACATGTTCAGGAATCTAAAATGGCGCTCATGATTAGGACGGATATTTGCAATTTTTCTAACTTTGCACCGAAGTCGTGCGAGGGTCTACAGAACATGTAACCGTATTTTTTTATTGAATCATGTATGTTCTTTTCACAAATGTAATAATAAGCCAAATATCTGTTTGGAACCGGCGATTTTAGTGGGAGTAATATTTGCCCCATTGCAGTCCGTCATTCATCATCGAAAACCTAATGGATTCCACAAGGCGTAGCAAAAAGTGGATTGCTTCTGAAATTTAATTCCTATTAAAATATGTAGATGAATAACTAAGTTATTCATATCAAATCAGAAAAGTTTTGGTCAAACTCATTTTCCGCGACAAAGGAAGGAGTCTTTATGAGGCAAATCGTCCCGCTAACATTTATGAGATCGTGTTCTGGCCACTATTTCTTGTTAATTCTCGTATTAGGTTTATTGGATAACAATGCTGGTCCATTTAGTTAAAATTACACTTTGTATGACAGAATTTTGTAAACTGGAGATGGATATTTTTCCATACAAACGTGATTAGGAGGCAGTACATCCCCGCTCGGTGGTCACCTGTCAATTAAAACTTCTGCAACAAATCAATAATGTTTGTGTTTAAAGAAGGCGTTTTATAACTTTTCCTTAATCTATTATTTATTAAATAAAATGTATTTTAGACCAATTCAGTCATCATTATTGCAAAGTAGTTTGTATTTGAAATGTCTGAAATATATTTGTAGTTTTGGCTTTTGTTTATAATATGCATATTTCGCTGGTAATTAAAAGTGTTGTCGATTTCAATGTTTCTTTTAATATCCAGTTTCAATAACTGATTCAGTGTAAATAACATGGCGCTTTCGTTGCTTGGCATGCTTTTCATTTATTCTCTTTAACCATGTCTGGCAAATGTTTTTTAAGTGAGAGAGACCAAAAACTATGTGGAGACTCTCGAGGGCTGAGTGAGATATTTCGGCTTTCTTCATGCAATGATAGTGTGCGAGGACACCTCGAAAGCTTGCACATTTCTGGAGAAATCGTTTCTGAAGTAGAACTGATTGTCGGTAGAGTCGGAATGTTATACGTAACAAAAGATGAAACAGAGAAAATGAAAAAATGTCCCTATCACAGGCACAAGTTTGTAAGATTTTGGAGGCCATCTAAACGTTCGTGTTATCACCCAACCCACACAGGAGCTCGAAAATCCGTAAAGGGCTCTGATGTTATTAATAGCTTGTAAATGTGCAAAGATGTGCAAAAACAGTACTATGGAGTACTTGTACCTCTCGGAGCACAGGAGGCCCAGGCTCGATTTGCCCGCGCCCGCCTGTGCCTTCCTTATAACGTGGGAAGGAAGGAGACATTGAGACCAAAATAGCCCAGACTTGGCATATGTCACACGAAACTATCCTCGATTTTTCGCTTTTAATGCATTTCTTTCACGATTAATCGATATCCCCTGCAAGAATGATACCGTATAACTCTCAAAACAACGATGCTTTAATCAAAAAGCTTAAATTCGCTCTGAAATCCGTGAGGAAAAAACAAAATTCGGCCAAAATATATCCGCGTGCCGGGTTTGCTGTGCAAAAAGCGGAAGTCGTTGAACAACTAAAAATACACTCAACCCTGATTGGACAACGAATATCAACAAACATTTCAAATTTTTTTAACAAACACAATGTGAAATACAATTTATTATACATATTAACGTACTACAGTTATATTTACATGCAGTAATATTTACACTTTATTATAACGTTTGTGAATAGTTTTGTTTGTATGATTGAAATTATTACAGTACTGTTAATGCGGATATATTTTGGCCGAATTTTGTTATTCCCTCACGGATTTCAGAGCGAATTTAAGCTCTTTGATTAAAGCATCGTTGTTTTGAGAGTTATACGGTATCATTCTTGCAGGGGATATCGATTAATCGTGAAAGAAATGCATTAATAGCGAGAAAACGAGGATAGTTTCGTGTGACATATGCCAAATCTGGGCTATTTTGGTCTCAATGTCTCCGTCCTTCCCTCGTTATAAGGAAGGCACAGGCGGGCGCGGGCAAATCGAGCCTGGGCCTCCTGTGGTAAATACCTATTCTTGGCCTCCTGGCTACTGTTAAGGACTGGTGGTTCGCTTATTGGGTTTTCGTGGACTGTGTGAGAATACCCGTGAACAGTGTTGTAAACTTTAGACTTTAGTAAGGGGCTGATTACATGGGCCGAGTTGTCCCGCTTTGCCGAGTTGTCCCGCCTAAGCGAGTTAACTTTTGAATTGCGATTACATGCACCGCGCTAACCCGGCTAGCCAGGCTGAAGTAGCTCATTAAGATTTGTAATGCTTAACAATTTAATACTCGATGTTAGAAATCGATTTAAAATGGTGTATTTGTTGTATTTGAGGACTACTTTACCCACTGAATGTTGTTGGTTGAGGTATTTATACTTAGCGCTGATCCCAACAGGCTTATACTGTTTGTATTCTAACAAAATTGTGTCGCTTCCTATCTAAACCTTGAAAACGTTCATTAATATCATTTTTATGTTATTTGAAGTTTTTTTTAACTTATATTTGTACATATAATCGAAAATAAAACATGCATAAGTGTGGTTTTCAGCCCGCTTTGCCGAGCCAACTCGACAAAAAGCGATTACATGGGATGTGTGGGCAATTTCTGTCCCGGTGTCCCAGTTGATTTGGACCCCCGTAGATTTGGACCCCCGGTCCAAATCTACTCGTGGATATGGACCGGGGGTCCAAATCTACTAGTAAATATGGACCCCCGTTGGCGGATTTGGACCCCCTTCAAAAGTTAAATATATGTAATGTGAACACAATAATATGAACCAAATTCATAATAGCGATCAATCTGAAGTATTTAGTCACTTTAAATATTTGTGATAAAGGCCACAAAACGTAAAATAGAAAAATAGAATACAATCGTAGAAATTGCATACAGCATTTGGATCGACACGAAACACGATTTTCATGAATGTTTTTAAACAATAAGTTGGCGACTCATCTGAATGGAAGCCTGCGACTATCCACTAATGGTTTTAAGAAAAGCTATAGAAGTAGAATATTAGAGCAATGCGATTCCATGAAATTTTTTAAACAATAGTTGAATTAAGTGATGGCGACTCATCTAAGCGGGACAACTCGCTTTGCATGGAATCGAAATGTCAAAATAATAGACAATACATATATCATGGGAAGCGGGTCAACTCGGCTAAGAGAGTCAACTCGCTTAGCCGGGACAACTCGCCCATGTAATCGGCCCCTAAAAATGAAACAGCTCCTTGAATGACATCCTCATTTACATATTTAAATAACATCATATCTATCGCCGTCTCGTCTGTGCTCATCAGAAACTCGTTGCTTAAGCAATCTAAATCAAACGTTCTTTGGCCATTTTCAGTAAAAAACCCATAATGTTCATATACTTTGCACTTAGAACACTTCTTCGAAAGACGACAACCAAGATAGGTCCCACGAGTAAGGTGATACACGACAATGGTTTCCAATTTTGGTCTGTTTGTAGGGGTTTTCCACATTTCCTGCATTCCGTTCTTCGTGACATTAGCACTGCAGCTGCAGGCATGCCAGTTTCCAGAGAAAAATCATGAAATGTTCTGAAAAGATCATTTGTTGTTCCAGTGGCAAAATTTGATATCTCAGGAAACAAATGAAAAAGATTATCTACAGACGCAGAAAATTGATCACATTGATGTCTCGTCTCTTTCGGAATCTTCACTAGGATCCGCAGATTCCCCACAAACAAACTCGAATGCAGTTTTCAAAACGCTCTTTGCATAAAGTACCGGTGTGCCAATTACATTAAGTACATAAAGCAAACAGAACATTTTCGGAGGATTTTCAATAAAGAAATTCATTGAAGAACTTGTTTTTACAACAACCTAGACCGTACTTTGATTTTTACGCAAATAGCTCATCAACGCCGGACGACAATAACTATATAAATTAACTATACACAGCTCAATAAATCAATCGCGTGGTTAATTATGAACATTTAATTCCGTTACATGAGGTTTACGACAAGTGAAGAGTTGATCTTCATTGACAATTGTTAATTGACAAATATGTGTAAGGAAACCACACCCATGGCCAGAACTAATATTGTGACACGAAACGGTGCTTTTAAAATTTGAGTTGTTGTCTCCTCTTATTGTGTACATTAATTTATCTACATGGGCAGTTTAATTGCCATAATGTATATAAATTTCCACTCCAGAATTCCCATCTACAAGACCGTTCAACTATTATTCAACCAAGGCCGATGTCAACAAAATCTTGATAGTTAATTTGCCTTGCATGGTTCCTTTCACGCATAATTTTTCACACTGCGCACGACCGATTTCACATGCGCGTAGTGATATGATGCATCATTGGTTTTTACATATAGGTTAAAAGCCAAGGGAGAGGTTTTTATTAAACTGTGAAGACCGAGGGCCGAAGGCCCGAGGTCTTTACAGTTTAATAAAAACCGATACCCGCGGCTTTTAACTTGTTTATATACTCATCAGACCATATTCTTTTGTATTTTGGAGGTTTTCTTTATTAAATATTCAAGCTATATTAATTCAATGAGAGGTCGTTGCAGTTGTGGGACGAAATAACTAGGTGTAACATGCGCATTAACACGCTTTAAAATGTGGTTAAGCATGCGCAGTATATCATTTCACGTCCCACAAGCAAAAGAGCAGATATTACTGTATAAATTCCCTGCACAAGCATGTTTGATGGTTGATCCAGCTAGTCCTCGTGCGCCGAATGATAGATACTCTTACCAAATGGTAGAATTTTGACGGGCTCTCTGAGGTACACGGCTGTTGTCTGTTTCTCGACTTAGAGACGTGCAACGTTTTCTAGTCGAAAAGGAGATATGTGGGTCTTGAGTTTTCCTGAAAATTCAAGTCCCGAATTCAAGACTCATGGCCAGGTCTTGAATTGAAAATGTAAAACCAGGTAACTGGTTATTATTTTTTCGTAATAACCGGGTAGCAGGTTATTACGGAAAAATAATAACCTGGTAGCAGGTTATTACGGAAAAATAATAACCTGGTAGCAGGTTATTACGGAAAAATAATAACCTGGTAGCCGACTAGCAGGTTATTATTTTTCCGTAATAACCTGCTACCCGGTTATTATTTTTCCGTAATAACCTGCTACCCGGTTATTATTTTTCCGTAATAACCTCCTGCTACCCGGTTATTATTTTTCCGTAATAACCTTCAACCCCGTATTTCCCCCGGAGAAATCAAATACCACCGCCTGCTTTTAGACTGAAGGTTATTACGGGGGAGTTAAAAACCGACGAAATACAAAAGAATATGGTCTGATGAGTTTGTAAATATACTTAGCAGAAATCAGAAAGTTTCACTTTGTGCGAATCTGAGCGCGTTTGACTTAATTGATGTTATAATAAACATACAAGAAATTGTCTACCACTTTGTCTTTGGTAGTTCATAAAGAACTTTCTAAATTTGCACCAAAACTAACATAAAGTTGTCAAAATTCTTGCGGTATTTTTACGGTTTATATTGGATGTTTTAGACAACCTTTAATCTATACATGCAGATACAATATAGGGCAGGCATGCTAAAATCGATATCCCATGGGCACACACATTTTTTCAATAACAATGAGTGATGTATGCTTCACTCATGATATTACGCTCATGCAATAACCGGAGATTATATTTGAACATTTAAGGTGTTGTGCACGCATGTAAACAAGCACGCAAGATTACACACCTTATAAAAATCTCAGATAAAACCAACAACATATTTATATATTTCATATAGCCCTAAATATTCCTTTACATAAATACATATACTTCAAATTTGCGTAATAATAATTTTCTCTCGCACTTCACCAAAGATTTAATTTCAGGGCTCATAAATGCAATGTATTCGCGCGCATTTAAAGGGATCAAAACTCGCACTTAGATTGTATATTTGTATAGTGTTAGCCTATATATTGCATAATTCAAATTTGACAAGCGGCTTCCTAAACCAGAAGTACCTCAGGATCGTTATAGCTTCTAGGCGAGATAATTTGATTCTTTATTTTGATGCAACAATTAATTAACGAATCTAATGGCTAGTAAGCAAACATGTTATATATTTATATTATTGAATTATTAGTAAACTACTTGTCTTTCGATTACAATTTGTTTGACATTTTTATGTTGTGGTGGGAACCCACAGATCCACAGGCACTATTTCGCACGCACGAGTAGAGCAGCAAGTAATTTTGCGCTGATTATTTTTTCAATATTTTTATTTCGTGCGACACAATCTGCGCGATTTTGAAAAACGCACGAATTTCAATGTCACCTTGTTCAATAAAAATAGATTTTAGCTGTTGCATGCCCGTGCAAAATACGAACTGGCATGTCAATGGAGGCTAATGCAGGATATCCTCTCTAAAGGTTTCACAGCCTGTGGAGAAACGTAGTGTTTCAAAACGCACGTATTGTGCACAAAGATTGTGTGTAAAGGAATAGTAGGGGAATGGCACGTCTAATATTCTATATAACAATTAAAACTATTCAGGCCTGCAATAAAATTCATGACAAACCACAACGACAAACCACAACGGACAAGGGTTTATCTTCTGTGAAATTAAGCGCTGACAATTTATAGCATAATATTATTCCAGGTTATTTGTTGACACATGCACCCCCATAATTAACACATTCAAAAATACAACATTAGCCAGGCTCCATTTTTGTCACGGAATTGTTTTAACGATACAGATGTACGTAACATTAGAAACGCACGCAAACATGATTTGCAATGATAAACACCTGCTGAGTCTTCGCCCATAAAATGGGAAAGGCCGGACGGCTAAATTAAAAGTTCACCAAACTGTTCATCATAAAGAGGTTGCAGATCGGGCAGAAACAATTAATGAATATGTCTCTTTCTAATAATGCGTTAACTGCGCAAAGAAATTTGGATGCTTGCTATGATGTGGATATCGAATGGTCCGATTATCCAAAGAGATTGGAAAAGGTAATAAGATTTTTGGTAGTTAACCTGATAAAATTCGTAGTTAACCTATTATTTTGTTGAGTCAATTTCACAGCTTTTAAATAATACGAGTGCTTAAAACGTATTTTAGGTATGCGAATTATGGGCCAAGAGTATAAAACAGCAAAAGACTACAATTTTAATTGGTCTATTGTCACTAGTTTCATTTTGTTTTGGGCACTCGTGTGTTGAAGTGAAGTCTGCGTGGAACGAACCTTTGGTGATTTGGACAGCAGTGGGTTTGTCCGATTTATATTTCTAAAATACATGTTATAGGAAATGTATAGCATCCGGCATCACATACTATTTTCAAAAATAGGCACGCTATGCGTACATGTATCTATGCAAAGCATTGAATTTGCTCAAAGTATTAAATTTGCATTGTTGCTATGAAAAAAACTGCATTTGTAGTTGTTGATATTAACCTTATTCGTCATGATTCATGTCACAAAGAATAATCAAAATCAGTGGAAAACTTTTTGGTAGATTGCAGTCTATTCTTTAAATCAACTGTTCTGTGTTCATAAAATTGGAGTAAAATAATCATCCGGCATTAGACAAAGTAGTGATCAGTGAACTGGTAGTAACTGGTCAATTCTGGGGGTATATATGGGAGTTGTATCTTTGCATTAAATTTCAGTGCATTTGTATTTGGGGAATCCCTCTAGCTTTCATGACACACTTGATACAATTTTGTTCTTCAGTAACCACAATTAACTAACATTAATTAAAGATGCTGTAAAGTCCGTTCTGCGCAAATATTCTGCGCATCAACACATTCCATCAGTGGGGGAGTAACCTTTGGAATGTTATTAATATTTCGCACCTTCCGAACTTTCTTGAATTGAATCTCTACTCTGCATTCATTTACAAGCATAGCGAACCAGAAGAGTGTTAAAAATTCACTATAATATATATCTAATCATATTTTACAACTGTAGCACTGAGTTCAAAATGTAAACAAAGCGTTTGTTTTCATTACGATTTACGGACTTTACATCACCTTTAACAAAAGGGCATGTTGTAAAAGACGGACTGGACTGGATCGGACTGGACTGGGAAAACGCGGACTGAGTCCGTGTTTTACAAATCGCGGACTGAATTTGTAAAACACGGACTGGACCGGGAAAACACGGACTGAGTCCGTGTTTTACAAATCGCGAACTAAGATTTGTAAATCGCGGACTGAGTCCGTGTTTTACAGATCGCGGTCGCAGTAAAGTATTGTTCATGTAAATAGTTGTATGCATGTATAGATATAGGCTAGCTCTTATAGCAGATACCATTTAGTGTTAATCATAATTAGAAGAAAATAGAGTTAATTCGTTTATTAGGGCGTATTAAATAAAGGTGTCTACAAATTTGCAAGAAATATGAAATGAATACTCTAATTGAATTTGCCTTTTAAATATTTGTGTTATTAAACGGGGAAACTCTCGCAGGCCATCAAAACATCAAAGCAGTCTATTAACTTTTATTGTTGTCATACGACGAAGTTTCTAAAAATCGTTATTCGATTATAGTATTCATTTCGCATATTTCT